TTTTAAATATGACATATTTTTTCATGAACCAGGTACCTGTGGTAGGTGTTTTATTTTATTTTAGATGAAAATACAAAAATTCTATATGATTTTTCTGTTCCTGTAAGATACTGAAGGACTCAGTACAAAGAACCTGTTTTAAATATATGGAGTTTCCTTTTACTTTGCTTTTTGTATCCAGAAGATATTACAGTATTGTATTTAGTCATTAAATTGTTATTGTCATTTTGTTCACAAAATTTTTTTTGAAGAAAAACATTATGTATAGTTCTAATACAATTTGGGTAGATATTCATAAGGATAGCCAAAATTAAGTAGGATTTGTTAAGTGGTGTATATTAGAGGAAACCAGTGTAATTATGGGCAGTTATTATATAAACTGCTGGTGCGGAGTAATTAAACTTCCAAATCCTTAGAAGTGGATGGAAGATAGAATACCTGTACAGGTATTCCCACATCCATAGACCCCACATGAACTGCATGCATCCCTCAGTATCAATCTCCTCACAAGAGAGTTGGTGGGCCATGATATCAACAGAAGTGCATATTTTTTTCCACACTAATAGGACCTACAATGACTTTGGTCTGTTAGGCCCTCTTGCTGCTTCTACCCAGAGACAGAACACCCTGAACCATAAACACACCTCTATCCAACACACATTATTTACAAAAAGACATAAGTTAACCAATTATACTACTGTCACCAGTGACCACTTTCCGGACAAACTGATCCACAATGGAGAAGGAGCGTATGGAAGTTGAAGGAACAGAATGTAAGAGAAGCATTTTATGTCGAGTTGAGAAGATTGGAAAACCCAGTAACAGGGAGAGCAGTTGTGATAAAGTAGAAAAGAAGCTTGTATATGGCTTGGAAGATGGGTGGTGACAAGAAGTACCTGGTGTGTGTGTGTATATATATATATACATACAGTAAGTCCACTCTTAACATCCTTCCGCATAATGTTGTTTCGGTAATACGTCGCTAAACTTAGAGACCCCAAATTTGTTTAACTTCCCGGTGATTCGGAACAAAGTCGTTTTGCGTCGTCACGGACTACTTTTGATGGCGCATCACCCTCTCTTGTCTGGCTGCGCTACGCTCTCTCGGCTCGGCGCGCTGCCCTCACTCACGGAACGTCACAGCGTCCCCAAGCGACGCCAAGCCAGTCTTTGTTACGACTTCACATCATCCGTGTGTGCTTAAGCGCTTTTGCTCTAGAACTGTACTCTAACCATTCAAAATGGCTTCCAAGCGCCCATCAAGTGCTAGTGTAGTGAAGAGGCAACGTAAGACCATTACCCGGGCTACGAAAATGGATGTATTAGCCCGATTTGAAAAAGGGGAACGTGCTGTGGACATAGCCGTTGTGCTTGGTCTAACCCTCACAACGGTGCGTACTATCCGAACCAACGCTGACAAGATTAAGGTTAGTGCTGGAAGTGGTACTTCTCTGAGTGCAACTAAGACAACTCATACTAAAAGCACTGTGATAGAAAAGGTGGAAAAGATGCTGGCTATGTGGATGGAGGACCAGAATCAATGCAATGACCCTGTGAGCATTATGGTTATCCAGCATAAGGCCAGATCCTTGTTTGACGACTAAAGGCAGAAGAGGGTGAAGGATTGAAGGAAGAGAGTTTTACGGCTAGCCTAGGATGGTTTTAATGATTTAAGCGTCGTTATAACTTCCACAATATTAAGATGACTGGTGAAGCTGCAAGTCCAGATATGGTTGCAGCTGAGACATTCCCGACAATTGAAAGAGATTATCCAGGAAGGAGGCTACTCATCGAAGCAAGTCTTCAATGTGGATGAGACTATTCTTTTTGGAAGAGGATGCCTGAGAGGACCTATATCTTCAAGGAGGAGAAAAGAGCGCCAGGTTTTAAAGCAGCAAAAGACTGCTTGGCACGAACGCTGCCGGCAACTTCAAGCTGAAGCCGATGTTGATTTCTCGCGCTGCTAACCCACGGGCCCTGAAAGGTTACTCTAAGGATCACCTTCCAGTGATCTACAAGGCAAATAAGAAGGCATGGATAACCAGCGCCATATTTAGCCAGTGGTTAAACGTGTATGCCGTCCCAGCAGTGAAGGAATACTGTGCCAAGGAGAACCTTGACTTCAAAATTCTTCTGATCATTGAAAATGCTCCAGCTCATCCTCCCAATCTCGATGACTTGCATGACAGTGTAAAGTTGTATTCCTGACTCCCAACACGACAGCACTGATGCAGCCTATGGACCAAGGCGCCATCGCCGCATTCAAGGCGTATTATTTACGCTGTACCATGGCCCAAATGCTCAAGGCTACAGACGGAGATAATAAACCTATGATCCAAGAATATTGGCGTGGCTTCAACATTCTTCATGCAATTGACAACATTGGCAAGGCATGGGAAGAGGCTTCAGAAAGTTGCCTGAATGGTGTGTGGCGTAAATTGTGGCACAAGTGCGTTATCAGTTTTAAGGGATTCACGGACTTGGTCCCAGCTGTGAATAAGGATATCCTCAGCTTGGCTGGACAGGCAGGCTTTGATGAGCTGGAATCGGAGGATATTGAAGACGTCCTGGCATCCCATACAGAAGAGCTCGCCAACGAAGATCTGCAACTGCTAACAGAACACAGTCCCGTTGAAGACGACGATGAAGAAGAAATAGCACAACGAATGCTAACTACCAAGAAGATGGCAGAAGCATTCAATATGATCCAGCATGGTATGCAAATCCTTATAGATGACGACCCAAACAGAGAACGTAGCTGAAAGATTCAACGCAACGTTGATGACAGTCTTGGTTGTTACACTGGGATGTCTAAGGAGAAGAAGAGTAGCACCAAGCAGTCAACACTGGATTCATTTTTTTGTTGCGAGATTGCAGAAGCAGCTTCTTCACAACAGCCGGCAGCTGAGGAGAAGCATACAGCAGCTGAGGTGGAGCAAACAACAACGGAGGAGGAGCAAACAACAAAGGAGGAGCAAACAACAACGGAGGAGGAGGAGCAAACATCAACGGAGTAGGAGCAAGCAGCGGTGGAGGAACCCCAGTCAGAGGAGGAGGAGGCAGCCGCAGGGTCTCAGTGACTCACTACCCTCCTCTCCCACCCTCCTCTACTCCCACCCTCCTCCTCCGCTCCCGCCATACTCCTCCACTCCCGCCATCTGCCTCCTCCGCTCCCGCCATCCGCCGCTTCACTACCCACCACACACTCGCTCTACCGCCTCCGCCCATCGTTGAGTATCAATACAAACTTAGTAGTTGTATATGCATGCACTATTTTCTATAGAAATGGCAATGATTTTCTGTATGTAATGTATTTCATGGGGCAAAGGGAGGCTCAGGAACGTAACTCCTGTATTTTATCTATTTCTTATGGGGAAAATTGATCCGCTGAACATTGTTTCGTAAAATGTCGCATTTTCAGGAACGTAACACCGACGTTAAGCGAGAACTTACTGTATACACAGTAAACCCTCAATGACTCGGCGCATATGGGACTCTGACCTTGCTGAGTTATCCCAAATTCCGACTTATCAAGGCACTTTCCCCTCCTACATAAATACAATAAAAAATTATTGACCAAGATATGTGTGCAGTGGTCCCTCGGTTAACGAACACAATTCGTTCCAGAAGGTCGTTCGTTAACCGAAACCATTGTTTCAGTGGGATTTTGGGAAGTTGGTTCCAGCTCACCGAAAATTACATACAAAATATAAAAAAAATGCAGTAAAGTACACTTACTTTGAGGTGTATATGTAGAAAGCTCCTGGTTGATGATGATGATGATGATGGGAATTAGAAGTGGGGGTGGAGGAGAAGGGAGAAGAGAAGGAAGTGGGGATGGAAGAGAAATCACCCCATGCTTCATGCCGTCATTTCACCCATAAAATTTTAAGTTCACTTGGTGTAATTCAAGATTATTTTCTTTAAATGAAAACTGCACTGCACTATATATTGTCAAAATGTTTAATAAATTTCAGAATGACCAATAATTGTACTGTAAAAATGTAAAAATCGTTTATGTTCAAGAGAGCTACAAGCAAGATGTTATCTCCACTGACCAGAGATACAAACTGACGCCTTGCTGGGTGAGTCAAGTGGCTGATTGGTGCACCAAAAACTAGTTCCCTGTACTGCAATTATGTTAAATAAACGTTAAAATGACTAAAAAATTTAAAATAAAACTTGGAAAATTATTGAATAGTACAACTTTCTTGATATTTACTCATATGGGAACGAATTTAAGCCCTAGAACTGATTACTGTATTGGCGGACTAATATTCCAGCTGGTGAGCAAGCGAAAACATGTTGACATGATTTCGTAAGAATTTCATTAACCAAATTTTTGTTTGTTAACCGAATTGAAGATTCTTATGGAAGGTAATTCGTTAACCGAGGGATCACTGTACATGTAATTACTAAATGTAAAAAAAATGTAACATTTACCAGCACTGCATGCGAAAAATAAAGCATCATAGTAGGTGACAGATTCATGGGAGGTGATGCAGGTGGCCAGATATGCCAAGATTTTTTCAGATAATTTTACATATCTCTGCATTTCCTAAGTTATACTAATTACATTCCAAGGCCATATCCATGCCGAGTTATATGAAATTCCGAGTTGTCGAGCATTTACTGTATGTATGAATGTATGTATATATGTATGTATGTATGTATGTATGTATTTATTTATTATTCTGGCATATAAGATGACCTTAATTATTTCAACTGAAATTGTTGATCTAGGCCTATACCTGGCAGTTAAGTCGACCCCCTAAACTGCAATTTGAAAGCTATGTCCTTGATGTCAGCTAAACTTGTCAAATATTTACTTTTTAACAGCACTCAACATTAAAGTACCTTTTGGTGTTAACTACGGGTTTCTTACAAACAAACATTACTATGGCACATGAATGTGGTGTAAACAAATCACAACAATACAATTTCTACAAGCATTAAAATATTTTACACTGTATACTAGGTGAGCAATGACAATTTACTAGTACTGATAGATAGTTTATTACTAAATAATGTACTGTACTCTGTACAGTACATTGAAAAATAAAAAAAAATTCATACTTAATAATTGTGGTACATGATAACCAAAGCACGTTGTACATTATAATGACTGCTAAGTCAAGAGGCAAATGCGAGAGGTTAAATATCCAAGAAAACGTTTTAATTTTGATTGGGGCAGATAATGGAAAAATACTGGGGGTGTTTCCCTCCACGGGAGAGGGTGTTCTTCATATTTCCTAAAATCTTAAATTTGTAAGGGTTAGAGCCTTTATTATTTTGAATTATGGGGGTTTACTTTGTATTAGAGCATGTTTATCATCCAAGAGTCTCTCTACTAAACTTAGAGAATGAAAATATTAAAATACAAAAAGAACTTAGCAGAAAAACTTAACTTTTGCTAATGACAACTCTGTTAACTGGCCCACTGTTAGTTTGTTATTAATCAGTCGTCCTTTCTACCTCTCGGCTGTCATTAGTCTGGAAGGGTACTGTCATGACTCAAAAAAGTCCTTCTAGAGTTTGGTATCTGCCATGGTTTTGTATTTGAGTGCTCTTGAACAAAAGCCAAACACAATGTTTCACACCAATAAATCATTTGCATTTCACACAGACCTATGTTTAACTATAATAACATAGGATTACTTTCTTATCCCACTTACTAATCAACTTTGAAAATTTCCCTTTGTCCTTAGTACTAGACAATGAATGTTCTTAATTTTGTACTAAACGAGTCTAAAAAACAAACGAAACAGAATTCCTTTTTCTAATGTAAAACTGTATCTGTATACTCCTGCCTTTTAATTTCTTGGTAATTTTCCTGATTTCTCGCCAATAGTACGACATATTCTTTGCTCTTTGTTACTGAGATTCTGACACAACTGATATCCCTTGTTCTACATGTGATGAGAGGGATGTGGATGTTGTATTCACATGCCAAGTGACTCCAGTTTCATTGGACCTGGATATCTTTCTTGTAGCATCTGATACTGTAGAAATAGCCCCAGTACAAGCTCTTTTTACTAGTTCACGCTTCTTATCGCCACTTATGAAGATGAGGAACACGATGAATCCTTGCAGTGAGTTCAAAACATCAGTCAGGATCCTGAGAAATTGCAATTGGACAAAATAAGAACGTCTGCTATATAAATTATTCACACATAAAACTAACACCTAAGACTGTGTGGTTACCAGTACACATGCTATTAAATGGCTAAAACCACAAAGAAAATTTAACTGTGTGCAAGGTTAGAGCATGTGTGGAAAGTCAGTACTGTACTGTGCAAAGAGAACAGTATTACCAACAGCACATAATACTCCTACAATGACCTGGAAAAATTATAGGGATCTTCCTCTCCCTCCATGTAAGCCCTGAAGGTATAATGTTCCAACCCTTGGTAGTCATTCCATACATACAGTATGTTAATGTTGCAGTGATGGGTAAAACATGAGTTTCCAACAATGATCAAGACAGCAATTTTTATATAACAGGGCTACTGAATGTAAACTAATTTCATGGAGGTATGTAATGTCTAAATTATGAAATGTTAATCAAATTAATGCTAAGTACAGTAATGTGACAAGTTTTTAAGAAACTGCATACAGGTGTTGACCATACGATGGGGTTTGGGACTTTGAAAAGTCATCGTAAGGTAATCGATCATATATCGATATTAATAACTTATGGAGGAAAATGGGTTTTGTTCCTGATACTGTACTTCGAAGAGCCAGAGTTAGCACTAAGAGTGGTTACTTTTCAAATCATAAATTTGGGTAGACATAAGTAATTTTCTTAATTTTTTAATTCTGTTACATGCACACATAATCTTTCATACAGATGATGAAAAAAAATAAATAAATAAATAATAAGATCAAAAACATAAATGGAATAAACATTTCTTATGTGCACAGCTCTTATAACACAGAGTGGGGGAAGGGGAAGCGGAGTGGGTGCTCTCAGCTGTTAGCTGTCTCATGTCCCACGTATAGTGAATTTATTGTCAAATGGCAATGCAATATTTTTTCTTTAATTGTTCTTCACATTTACTGGTACAGTACAGTAGTCCCTTACCAACCGAAGTGGTTAGGTGCCTGAAAACCCTATAGTTGGCAAATCTGCAATTAGCAAGATTAAAAGCTTATGGGAAATAGAGGGTTAAGTTCCATGGCCGTGGATAACACTTGTTAAAGCCTAACTAAGTTGCCTGTTCCTTTACTAAACAATGCCTGTATTGTAAATTTTATTAATTCACGTCAAAACCATATAAAATCGCTTAATATAAATTAAATAGTAATATAAATTTTACAGTACATCTCCGTGGAGGTGACATGTTGCTATAAAATAAGGAAACTGAAGAACATGGGTATGTGTGTCAAATGAACATATGTTTGTTTGTGTGTGTGTGGACATGGCACGGCGCCAAGTTTGACTGTTCCTGTAGCTACATCCCCCTAGCTCTACCCCTACCAGGCCAAGCTGTATTATAGTTATTTCTTAACTTCTATTTTTGGGTAGATGTACATAATTTTATTCATTTTTGTTTACACATTTCTTACATTCATTGAAGTTAGTGTCCGATTGTGGGAGGGGAAAGGGGGAGCGGGTGAGGGGTGTGGTGTTGGAAACTCAGCCTCTCCTTACCAAGCCAAGCTGTGAGCTGTGTTATTGTTTTTTTTCAACTTGTAGTTTCAGGTAGACATACGTAATTTTAAGAAAAAAATTTACCATTATATCACACACAATCATTCACACAGAACGTGCAAAAAAAAAAATAAAGAAATGATTATCATAAGGTCAAAAACATAAAGAGAATAAACATTTCTTACATCCATGGGAGTTAGCCCACAATCGTAGGAGGGGGAAGCGTGCTCCTGTCTCCCATGTCCTCTGTGAAATGATTGCTAAATGGCAATGCAGTATTTTTTTCTTTTCCTTTATTTATGAGCATTATTTTTATTCATTCCTCACATTTATGGAGGAATATATTAGACCGTGGAGGGATAAAAATGCCACACTAATTCGAGGATACTTAAAATTAAATGCCGTGGTTGGTGAAATGGTATAGAGTAAAAACCATGGATACCCAAAATATGGGGATGGGAAATCCACAGTTGGCAAGGGTCTGCTATATATATTGTTTTATATACAGGCAACCCCCGGGTTACGGAAAGGTTCCGTAATGTGAAACCATTTTTTCCAAATACTTCCATCATGAAAGTTGAGATGCGTTCCTACGTAATTTTTTGAGGCCCCAAAAATGAGACACAAGCACATATATACAGTATGTATGAAATTAGATGGTTTTAACCACATACAATGAGTCATTCATGAAATAACATGATAATAAATGAACAAAACACTCGATTTTTACTTATCAGAAAAGATGTTGAGTGCTGAGCTCGGTGAGGTGGTGAAATTAGAGTTACTGGGAGGGAGACAATGGGTCACTGCTGACTTCTACCTCTCCCTGTGGATCATCATCATCATCTCTTTGGGCTGCTGGCTGAGGTTTTGGGGCAAAGAACTTGTGCAATGTGGTCTGTCACTGACAGCACAATTTTTCAGTGTAGAGCTCCTTATATCCCCTCATGGCATTCTCCATTTCTCACGTTAACTTGAGGCTGCATTCACGGTCTGGATCATGTGTCTCAGCAGTTCGGGTTACATCTTGCAGTTAACTAAGCATTTTAGACAAAACCTTAGTCATTTCATGGGATGTAGATGCAAATTCTGTATAGGTGTACCCCTGTTCCTCAGCAGCATCTCGCTCCTCTTCCATTAATATTAGATCGTCATTGGACAGATCCCATGTGTCACTCTAATAGCTATACTACACCATGCTGGTCTACTTTCACAAGCCCTGCATCATTTGCCAGAGTTACAATTTCCTGCTGCACCTGATCCAAAGTCTGAACCTGGGGATAACCTTGGAAATCGTGGACACATTCGGGTCAGATGTTCTTCCCACCATTCACAGTTGTATTTTCCACCTCATCCCAGGAGTCAGCAATGTTGTTAAATATCCTCTAAAAATCTTGGACTGATTGCTGATCCTCACTATCAATTGCAGCTATAAGTTGTCTAAATATCCTGCATAGAATCGTAGATAGTAGGCCTTAAAGGTAGCAATCACACCTTGTTCCATAGCAAGGAAGTTGTACTCTTGGGCAGGTATTTAACCCTGATATTAGGTGAAACATCATTCAGGGTAACAGGGTGGCTGGGGCATTATCAAGAAGTTACAGGGCTTTGTTTGCAATATTTTGTTGGTTACTGCACTGTTCTATAGCAGGACAGAAGCAGTTAGTAAACCAATCTTGGAAGAGGCTGCCAGTCATCCATGCCTTCCTATTGGAGCACCATATCACTGGTAACTTGGATTTGTTGGAGCCCTTGAAAGCCCTGGGATTTTCTGAGTGGGCTTCAGCTTAAAATCATCTGCTGTATTACTCCTTAATGGGTGTTACACGATCTTTGGAAGCCTTGAACCCAGGAGCTTTTTTTCCTCAGTTGAAATAAAGGTTCTGGCAGACATGCTTCCTAAAAAGGCCTGTTTCATCAACATTATGCACTTGCTGTGGTGTGTATTGCTTTTGGTTCAGCAGGATAAGTTTTGGCAGCCTCAGTATATCAGCACTGGCTGCTTCACCTACCATCTTAATGTTGTGTAGGTTTGAACATTTCTAAAATTGCTGAAACCACCTCTTGCTGACATTAAAGGGTTTTTCATCAGATCTAAGTACCACTTTCTTCCTGGTTTAAATCTGCATACAGACTTTGAGCCTTCTCCTGAATAATAATTGTGTTAATGGGCACATTTTGCGTGGTCTGATACTCTAACCATACACTGAGTAAGTGTTCCATTTTTACCATTATATCACTACAATTAAAATAAAGAGTATGGGTTGACAGTGGAGTAGCAACTTGAGCACTAGCCTTTATTTTGTCTTTGTTATCACGGATTGCTCCAACAGTGGAGGTAACAAGATGCAAAGTTTTGGCAATGTAACTCAACTTCTCACCCTGCTCAAACCTCCTGAACACATATAATTTTATTTCTAAGGTGATACCCTTTCGTGCTCTCTTAGCAGCACTTGCACTTGGTGGCCTCTTTCCACTCATCTTGAATAAGAATTCACAGTACAATATACCTGTTATACAGTAAAAAAAACTGAGGGACAGCTGGACACAAGCTGGAGATTCAAACAGACCAAAAATGCTGTTGGTGTTGTGTGACTGCTGGTGCCATTTTGCTACCAGAGATGTATCCACACAATTATTATTTTTTTTTTAATTTCGGTAAAAAATTCGATTTTTTAATTTTTTTAAATCTTCAAAATTATGCAAGAGTGAAATTTTTTCTGTACGCGTATAGTTATTTTTGGGTCATAATTTCAAAATTCCGTACGGGCGAATTTCTGTAACCCGGGATTCCATACCGCAGGGGTTGCCTGTACTGCACAAATAATAGCTTCCACATGCAAACCATCCTCTGGGTGTTGTGACAACAGTTCAACGGCTCAGCCAGGCAATCACTGGGGGTCGGCAGAGCCTCCCATGCATCCTGCTTGTTATGCCATTCCAAGATTGTAAGGTATTGCCCATCACTTTTTCACAGCAGTGACAACGCAGGAAAAGCTTTCAGGTAGCCATTGGGTAGTGACCATCGTAAATCTGATCTTAGTCATCACTTAACAGTACTGTATTTGATGTTAATTTCTTAACATTGTAAAACAACTGATCAATTGCATAAGTCAACACCTGTATTAATCTATATCTGTTTTTGGGAGAGTTTCTCCAAACCCTGCCATTTTCTTTATTTCTTATGGGATAATTAAGTTTGATTTACATGTTTTTTATTTACATAGCCATTCTCAAGAATATAACTACCATGTAAATTGAGAGATGGCTATACTCTAAGCAGCAAGTGGGAGAGCACCTTACTTTTGAAGAGCATTGTGACGGACAGACCACCATTACTTTCCATAAGTCCTTATCATGGATTTTTTTTCCTTAGTTTCTCTCCACCAAAAAACATCTCTTTCCTTTCCTAAACCCTCTCTGTTCCTCATCTACAAGTGGTTCTTTAATGCAGCTTACACTTTCAATCAACAGCCTTCCATATTCTGTACCTTACCTACTGGGATCAGAATACTAATTCCTCCTAAGTTTTACACTTACATGCACCTTTTTTGCCTATATATTAGAGGCCAAGAAAAACTGTACTGTATTGCCTTTGATGTCTTATTTCTTTTAAGAAGTCTTTGAAAACATTGCCTGTCTTTTAATCCAAATAAAACAAATACAAAATACAGACATAACAAGTATAAATGAACTTACCATAGTTCTTTGGGAGGGATCTTCCAGGAGAGAACCTCTGTGACCCAACATAAAGCCATCAAAATAAACAAAGTGAAACGCTGCCAAAACCTGGAATAAAAATACATTGCAATTTTTTCTCTACCTTTTCATTTAAACATAATGTTAACTGCAATAAAAGCAAGGTGGTAATTAAGAAGACCAGTTGGCAGTTCATTGAAGGCCTAGCAAATCTTAAAATGTAACAATTATTAACCGATAAATGCAGCATACCGTTCTGTACTAAAAAAAAAAAGAGTGCAACAATTGCAACATTTTACTCAAGTTGAAACAGACATGCCCTATCAAGTCATAGGACCATGAACCAAACACTCGTCTAAATTTGATGAGTACATTTTCTGCATATAGAAAGAGACTGTAATTCACAAGGAAAAACAAGCCTGGAACTGCCTATCATGTACAGTAGATAGACATAGGAGGATTTAAAAAATTACCCTTATTGACAATGCACTCATTGACCTACTACAATCTATTTAGGTACTGTGGTTGACAGATCACCTGATTGGCATACTGTACATCCGATCATTTCACTAAATTAAACTTAGCACATTTTATTCTCCTACAAGGAAATAGTAAAAGTAAAATGCAGATTTGATAAAATCCTGTAAAGGTTATTTCAAAACATTGTACAGTAAAGATAACTCCAGCCTTCTGGGCAGCTATTACACCATGTACCTCTCATCTAAGACTGGTGTGTGAAAGACTGGTGTGTGATAGGGAGGGAAGTGTGATTGGCATTTCCACACAGATTAGGTAACAAATTAACCCTGAATGACGCTGGAGGATCTGTCTAAGGAATCAAAGACCCCCTGGTAACTTGCCTTTTACTGTATTACAAGAGTTGCTTGGCTTAAAGGTAAGAGCAAGAAAACTTATCATCTACTTCCTATTTCTGTCACATACCATACTGAAATAGAGAGTTCTTGTAAATGCCTTCATCAATTTCCTAATCAATAATTTTCAATTTCAAACTTTAGGTAGTGCAAGTAAGAAAAACTGCCAGTATGCAAACTTGGAAACTTACGCTTCAAGGTGATGCCGGTTAAATGCAGAGACCGTGACTTGCTTGGCAAAGCACTGGAAGGCACTCCCAGCCTGATACAACAAAATCACTGTGTGTCCCAGCAGCAACACATTCATTAGAAACAGCAATGCCACTATCCCATAAAAGTAGGTAAAGAGTTCGATATCACCTAGAAAGATAATAAGATTTTGCAATGAATTTAATGCCACTACAGTACTTAACAAAATAATTACAAAAGGATTATAAAAAAATAATAATTAAAAAAGAGCATCTGATTATGCAACATGGAATAAAACATAATGGTGTAGATATTTAATAAATTTTATCAAAAGATACAATATTTCACAAACGGATTCTACTGTACTGTACTTAGGAAAAGGAAAGTAAAAAAGTTTTCTGTACTCCATATCAACTTTCATTTACAACCAGAAGCAATTTTTTTCAAGGGTGTTCATTTCTTACCACTTGTTTCATTTATGTGATTTTCATTAGGTGACACATTATTATAAATACTGCACATAAATAGAATAAACTCCTGAACCATCATATCTTTAGTAATGGGTGGAGAATGAAAGCCTTTCACAGCACTCGCTTAAAATCTACTCGGATGTCTAAAGGGTTAAAATGGTCCTGAGTTTGGAGATTTGCATAATTTAGAAACAGGTAGTTTTTCATATATACTGTACTGTACCCAAACTGAAAGTTTAAATAAAAAGCTAAAATAATGCATTTTTTTACTACCAGTATGGTCTTGTTTACTTATTTCATTATTCTCTTACACTAGTAATGTTACTAAGTTTAAAAATAAGCTTTCAAAGTGCCATCAATCTCCTATAATCACCACAGTATATTCTTTTCAGGAAAGCAGCTGAGAAGTGTTCATCTTGTTGACAAGGACCCATCAAAATGCTGAGGATGGACCATCAACCAGTGCTATGCCTTCATATCTTAGGATCCCCCATGACAACAATCTCCATCTAGCAACCATTACCACAAATCTTTAGTTTAATTTTACCAATAATTCTGTAATTTCAAAACCTATGTGAACACAGTAATAATATTTTATCAATACAGTATTAATAAATATGAATAATAAGAATTAAGGTAATGGGTTAATTATTTAATATGACTATAATTATTTTTTATTTTTCTACTTCTTGCAAAGTCTTCCAAGTGGCAAGAAGTTGATGGGATGTAAACACACCAATATACAGGTGCTCCTTCACTTATGAACACATTGCATTCCCAAGGCTTCTTCGTAAGTACAATTTTACTCTTGTACATACCTGGTACTGAACATATTGTAGATTAATAAAATATTAATAATAAGGGATGTACAGTACAGTAACTCACTTTTAGGGAATTCTCAACTTCTAGAGAGAATAGACTTAATGTATTTATTTTTTATTTATAGTATGCATACAATGATATTTCCTTTATTTTGTTATCTAAGAAGTAAATCCAACATTCAACGAGTTTGTGAAAGCAAAATGGTAAATTTTCATTAATGCTTCAGTCTTTGTATGGATATTAAAAATATGTTTTTCCGATGTTATTTGATGAGTTTCGAATGAATTTGACATTCATTTCAGCCGGAAATCAATAGTTTTGAGATCCCCCCACCCTACCCATCAATCTTAATGATTTTTTTTCTTGAGTAAATCATAAACCAACAAAACAAAACAAAACCTAACCTGACCTAACATTATTTTTCCAGTGAAACTGCAATTAATGTAAAATAATCTCTATTAGAATGTTGGCACAGTTCTTTCCACCTGTTCAGCCATATCTACGGTAGTTACTCTGGTACTGAAACATCAAATCTCTGCTCCAGACGCATTGTTCATTGGCAAAGACAAAAAACTCTTGCCCAATTATAAGTCTCCTATTGTTATAACCAATAAGAACCCCCCCTGCACATGCACTGTAGATGCTTAAGAAGCCAACATGGAGGTAATGAGCACTGCGTGATGGGTGGTCAGACCTTCTCTGTGAGATGTAAACAACAAATGGCGACACTTGTGACTGACCAATTCTAATAATATTGAAAAATTAATATCTTTGTTATCTTTAATTTCCGGCAGGAATATCACAGAAGAAAATGGTCTTAGAATTGTCTAAACATTACGAAAAACATATTAATAACAGCGAGAGAAAGACCGGTGCATGATTGAAATTTCACCGCAAAAATTTATATAGCTTAGGGTAGGAGATAATGATCCCTGGATAAAAAATCTAATATAACCTAGGGCTCAAGAAACCAGAAAATGCAGTTTGGTCTTGGTCCCAAGAGTCCCAGATTCAAGGTTTTATACCTGTACTGGGTGTAGTAGTTTATGAAATACAGATTAGTAATAGTTTTTTAATAAAAAAAGAATGGAGGCAATATTACTGTAAGTCTAGTGTGGCTATACACTACAAATCTAAAACAAACAAACACTAATATGCATATAATGTACGGTACATCCTCGTTAATTGACGGTTCGATTCTTCACTTTTGTTATTTTGCAGCAACCCTTACCATTTTATTTTTTCTTATTGAATGGTCAAGCTCCTTTACTTCATAGTGCAAGCTCAGAAAAAATTTAATAAAATGGATTACCATGTTCAACAGTACTACAGTATTTTATAGTGTGACCAAATACATGTACTGTACAATACTGTTTCTTTTACTCTTGTTTTTATCCACCTCACCACTGATCAGCTTATTAGCTGCTTGGGCAGTCAGTCACATCTCTTTTATGCACTGTTGGCAAGTACTGGCTTCAGAATGTATCTGTATTGCCAACAGTGTTGGTCAAGTCTGGTCTTCAAAAAGCTCATGCTCGATGCCATCACAACACTGGCAGATTGTTCCAAGAGTTCACAATTCTCTTTTACTTACTTTTTTACTTTATACTCTTCACCACTGATCGGCTCATTCGCCGCTTGGGCGATCGGTCACGTCTCTGTTATTCACTGTTGGCAAGTACTGAGCATGCTCCGGCTCCTGAATGTACCTGAACCTGCTCCAGTGTTGGTCAAGTCTTGTCTTGAAAAAGCTCACACTTGGTGCCGTCACAACATTTTCTGGTAGATTGTTCCAAGAGTTCACAACTCTCACTCCGAAAAAGTTTACCCTCACAGTTTTCTCGACTTGCGGCTTCTTCAATCTTGAGCTGTGACCCCTTGTGGGGCGAACGTCCGCCAGCTCCAAGTAAGGACACTCAATTGAGTAGTACTCCTTGAGATGCTTATACACCTCAATTAGGTCACCCCTTGCCCGTCTGTAGTATAAACTAGGCAAGTTCAGGCGCTCCAATCTCTCAGGGTAGCTGAGGTGACAAAGTGCAAGCACCAGTCTGGGGGCCCTCCTTTGAACATTTTCAACCAACTGGCAGTCCCTAGTATATCTCGGGGACCAGACGGGGTGACAGTACTCCAGATGGGGAAGCACTTCACTCTTGAAGATCGTTACGAGGGACGGACCGTCTAGATATCTGAACGACCTTCTTTTAAGACTCAATAATTAATTTTCCTGATTTACCTTCTTCTCGCAATGGCCCGAGAACTTCAGCTCATTGTCAACATACACACCTAGGTCCTCCTCACATTTAGTCTCAAATAGTGCAGTTTCTTCATCCCGTTGGGACATACCGTTGGTACGCCCCAGGTGCATCCTCTTATACTTCGTGACATTGAATCTCAGCAGCCATTTCTTTGACCATTCTTTTTTTTTTTTTTTTTACAGGGATTAGCCCACCCGGGCACAAGTCACTGACCTACATTGGGGCCTGGGGGGCGAAAATAACTTAGCGTCATCGGCAAACATTTGTATGGAGGAGTGTACAACGTCAGGCATGTCATTTATGAAACAAACAAACAACAGCGGGCATTACACTGCCCTATGGTACCCCTCTTGTGACAGGTACGGATGATGATTTCATGCCATTAATCACCACACACTGCTTGCGGTCATGTAGAAAGTCTTCTATCCATGCTAGGACATTTTCCCAAATTCCATACCCTTCCAGTTTGATTTTCAGCCTTTCGTGGGGTACACTGTCGAAAGCCTTGGCAAAATCTAGGTAAATATTGTCGATATTACCACCCCGTTCCAGAATATGGGTCAAAATATCATGTACCTTGAGCAATTGTGTTCAGCAGGAGTGCCCCGGCATAAAACTGTGTTGGCAATCCTTTACAAGGGTGTTTCGTAGTAGATGTTCCATCGCGGCATCTCTGATAATACTCTCAAGTACTTTACATATTATGCTGGTCAGGCTTACCGGTCTATAGTTGTTTGTGGAGTGACGATTGCCTTTCTTGAAGATAGGACTCACATAAGCCACTTTCCCTTCGCTGGGGACCTTTTGTTCATCCAGGCATTTACAAAACAGGATCTTCAGGGGCTTGGCAAGCTCATTGCTCAACTCTCTTAGCACTCTAGGATGCACCATGTCAGGGCCGGGACTCTTATGGACCTTTAGCTTTGACAGTTTATTTCTAATACCCTCTTCTGTGAACACAATGTGGGTCAGTGCTGTGTCGAACCATCTGTCCTCAAACGTAGGAAGGTTAATCACATCCTCTCTTGTGAACACCGAGGAAAAGAAGCTGTTCAATGCCTCAGCTTTATCCTGGTCAGAATCTGTGCAATTACCATCTTCAAGCCTCAGGTCTGATACTCCTACCCGCGTTTTTAATTTCTACTTTGCATAGCGGTAAAACGCCTTTGGGTTTGACTTGACCTCGCTTGCAACCAGCCTCTGGAACTCCTTTTCAGCCCTTCTACATTCCATCTTTGCTTGGTTTCTGGCTCTTGCATACATCCTCCTGTCCTGCTCATCATTTGACCCAACCCACATCTTGAATTTCTGGGTTTTCTTCATAACTTTGTCGACCGCCGCATGGTTCATGTGTAGGGATCCCCTCGTATTCCTAGAGGCACTGGGTTTGGTCTTGGGTATATATTTATCGATCAAATGGATCACTTTACTAGTTATGATATTCAGCGTAGTGTCTGCGTTCTTGTGCCTTAATGAGTCAGGCCAGTGGATACTCCTCATCTCTTCCCTCATCCCTTTGTTATTTCCTTTGCAATATTTGCACCTTGGCCTGGCCTTATCCTGAACTAGGTAACAGTTAAATCTGAATGACAACACTATATGGTGACTGGTTCCAACTGGG